CATAAATAACTAGAAACTGATATTAAATCTTCGTTGTTTGCTCATATTTATTGCTGCTTAAAATAACATTTTAACCCCCAAACACCAGTCCATGTAACAAATTTTTTAAATAATAATTAGAAGTATACCAAAACCAAAACAAACAAAAACAAACACATTGTTGGAATTTCTCACATGAAAAACACATCAATCATTTCCGAAATGTTTAAACCCAGATACTGCGGCACTATTTGAAATCACGCTTCAAAGGCAATATTAATTATCCAAATAGACAACACGTTAAAACTTTAAATACAAACTGCAATTTTGCAACTATCAATCCATTCAGGCCAAACTATAACAGCTATTTAATACAAACTGCAATTTAACAATTATAAAACATAATCCAGATAGACTACACTTTAACAACTACTATAAAAATTAATCCAGGTTGATTACACGTTAACAAATGCAAAAATTAATCAAGAAAGACTACACTTTAACGACTGTAATAGTGTTGAGTACTTGTATTTTTCCCAACAATCATCTGATAATAAAGCATATCATATCTCTTCTGTTCGTGCAATATTAAATTTAATGGAAGACAAGAAGTTTTAACGAGTATCGCCTTCGAGATCAAAGTAAATATCAATGCCGTAACTACAAGATCATAAATTTAATATAGCGCCAGTCTTTTGTACATGTAAAGGGTTAATATAGTAAAGTATTCTAATACAACAGGCGTTTGGGCAGTTTTATATCAGAAAACACCAGTTTTGTATAAGAAGATATCAGTTTTAAATTCGGTGGTTTTAGACAGATGTGTGTTAAATGATATAATTTAAAGAAATGTTGAAGAAAAGTAAGAATGTCAAGTTTTATTCTGATGATGAAGATGGAGAGGAATCAGAAGAGGGTGTGTTGTTGGTTGATCACCAGGTTCGATTATAATTATTATGGAAGGCCCAAGGCCCGAATGCAGGATTTTAATTTACCAGGGTGGCTCGTTTGGGAGAGGTGTCTGTGTGTGTGGGGGGGGGGGGGGGCGTTGGTTAAGTGGCGACGAGTCTGGAATCTGGAAGGTTCAAAAAATAATAATAATGTTCGAATCCATTATGTTTCGACAATAACATGGTTATGTATAATTTTATTTAAGTATTTCTGCATTTGGTATAAAAAAAATCATTTTTAAGATAATTAAGATAGTTTCTTGAAGCGTTAGTATCATTGATGTGGAAGTATTACAGAGGTGTTAATTTAGGTAGTCGAGGATGAGGTATGAATTAGATATTCGTGGATGAGGTAGGATTAATTTAGATATTCGTGGATGAGGTAGTATTAGTTTAGGTAGTCATGGATGAGGTATAAATTAGATATTCGTGGATGAGTTAGTATTAATTTAGGTAGTTGTTGATGAGGTATAAATTAGATATTCGTGGATGAGGTAGTATTAGTTTAGGTAGTCTAGGATGAGGTATAAATTAGATATTCGTGGATGAGGTAGGATTAATTTAGGTAGTTGAGGATGGGGTATAAATTAGATATTCGTGGATGAGGTAGTATTAGTTTAGGTAGTCATGGATGAGGTATCAATTAGATATTCGTGGATGAGTTAGTATTAATTTAGGTAGTTGTTGATGAGGTATAAATTAGATATTCATGGATGAGTAGGATTAATTTAGGTAGTCGAGGATGGGGTATAAATTAGATATTCGTGGATGAGGTAGGATTAATTTAGGTAGTCGAGGATGGGGTATAAATTAGATATTCGTGGATGAGGTAGGATTAATTTAGGTAGTTGTGGATGAGGTAGTATTAATTTAGGTAGTTGTGGATAAGGTATAAATTAGATATATGTGGATGAGGTAGTATAAATTTAGGTCGTTGTGGATGAGGTAGTATTAATTTAGGTATTCGTGGATGAGGTAGTAATAATTTATGTATTCGTATTTTTTGATGCTGTAGTTTAATTGAAATAGTCCTGGATGTGTTAGTATACATTTTATAACTAAAGCATTCCTGGATGTTGTAGTATAATTGGGGTATCTATTGGGGTATTTCTGGATGTGGTAGTATAATTGAAGTGTTCCTTATTCCTGGATGCATTAGTATAATTAAAGCATAGGCGGATCCAAGGTGTGTGTGTGTGGGGGGGGGGTGCGCGCGAGTGCCTTTTCTCGGACCCAAATATGTCCGTTCCCAACTCAAACCATCGACTCAAACACATCAGTCTGGTCTAATTAATGCTTCCACTTTCAAACGAATTCTTGTTGTTTAGCTAACGGTGCCCTAATCCTATAGAGTGACTATAGACAGATATCAATGATCAGGGGCGTAAAAATAGTCGGTCGCAAAATCAGTGCAGTCGGTCTCAAAATAAGAGCAGTCGGTATCAAAATAAGTGCTCACTGCATACGTCACGCTACTCACGCGAAACTTTAGTATGAAATAAACTTGTCAACTTATCATGTTTGAAAAAATGTTGTGTTTCATTCTTATTCTGTTGTGAGTATGTTGGTCTATGAACAAAATTTCCCCCAGGTAGAAAAATAGTCGGTCTCAAAATAAGTGCAGTCACTGCAGTCGGTCTCAAAATTATGCATCGGCGACTCAATGAATTAAAGCGATAATTTCATATTTTCTAAGAAAGACAAAACATAATTATTTCTATGTCTTTTGCTCAATAGGTTATCAACTTACTATATAGGCACAATCATCATATATGACATAAACTTTATGTCAACTTAAATAAAACTGCTTTCCGGCGAGACAACGATCGGCGAACAACTATATAATTATACAATACTGTCTATGTTCTACTAGGACGCTTAATGTTATAGCCAGTATTTTGTTGACATTCATTGTGGGGTGGGATTGTAGATGGCACTCTAGATTTGGAATAACCCCTACCTCGCCCCCTATTCCCAACTTCTAGCCGCTCTGTACAATTTCCGAACATTTACTTTACGAAAATATCAGCCAAATAGCTCTTGGAATGGCTACAGATGCAAGGAAATGACGGATAATTTTCCCGCCCATACCCCCCTCCCTCTCAGCGGCGTGCCCCGTCTCCGCGGTCAGTGCCCTCATTTTGCGGCGCCCCCCCCCCTTTCAAAATTCCTAGATCCGCCCATGTAAAGTATTCCTGGATATGCTAGTATAACTAAAGTATTCCTGGATGTGGTAGTACAATTAAAGTATTCCTGGATGTGGTAGTATAAAAGTACTATTCCTAATGTGGTTGTATTATTGAAGTATTCCTAATGTGGTTGTATGATTGGAGTATTCCTAATGTGGTTGTATAATTGAGGTAGAAGTTAGGTAATTCTGTGTGTGGTAGTACAAATGGGGCATAGTTTAGGTAACTGTATGTGTGGTATTTGTTATAAATTAGGTATTCCTTTGTGTGTTAGTACAATTGGAGTATAATGGAGGTATTCGTGGATGTGACATTATGCTGTGGTATATATGAAATATTCCTGGACGTGGTAGTATAATTGAGGTATAACAGATACAACTAAACCTGGTATAAATTATAAATATCAGGCATTCTCATATTTTACCAAACACACAACATCGGAATTAGGGTACTTAAAGGGCGCATCGCTCTATTCTTTTGAACCTTAAAAATAGACGAAATGGGTCTAAATGATTAATGTAATATGAGTGTATATATATATATTTAATTTTTTAATAAAAAAATATTGTAATTTCTAATCAATTATGTTCCGTGAAATAACAGTCTAAATTGAACGACAGTCGTTTACGCCTAGTTAGTCCATTTATGATTTTTTTTTGTCGTTTGTGAATCAGCCATTAGTAATTACTTCCGAGTTAGCTTGTAGGATATGTTTTTCTTTGTTTATTCCAAATGGCACCTGAAGCAATAAAATACATGACTCGTGTAGGCTACCGTACTGATTATAAAATGTGCATCGTTTCTTCATATATTGGATATTAGGATCCCATGTTTTCACGCCAAGTTAACAACATCAATATTGATTGAAATAGACCAATATTGAATTCCCGTTAGTATTTTTAATTTCGAATGTTCTGGAAAATATTGAGTAAGAGATTTCTCCCCTTTAAAAATGTATTTCTAACTTTTGAGTTGGTCAAAGAAAATTCGCGTGAGCCCACTTCATACGTCAAAGGATACGTGCTTCTTGATCGAGAGTTTGACTCCTGACAGCACACCGTTTTACCGGTGTATTTTTGCCAGGACAATTGTTTTAAACCTGTTCTTTCATAAAGCAACATTGGAGAGAAGGTAGTTCCTTTAGGAAGTGTCTCTGAATGGACGATGTCAGTGGCATCGTCCGCTCAGAGACAGTTCCTAAAGGAACTAGAGAGAAGGGGGCATTTTCAACCAATAGGATTGGGTCGATCGATTCAAAAGTACTGTCTCTGAGCGGACGATGCCACTGACATCGTCCATTCAGAGACACTTCCTAAAGGAACTAGAGAGAAGGGGGCATTTTCAACCAATAGGATTGGGTCGATCGATTCAAAAGTACTTGTCCTAGCTTTCGAAGAGTGAGAACCCTGGTGTATCAGTAACAACGAATCCACACAATCAAGGCGTTCTTATAAGAAATAAAAGTCATGTAGTTCGAATTAAACTATCTTTTGTGTGGAGTCTTTAGGAAATGTAGGCATAGTTTCAGAAATTATCTATTTCAAAACGTTCATAAACTGGGGGTCTCCCTAATCTGAATAACGAATGAGAACGTCTCCAAATCTGGCGTCAATCAGAGCCGGTAGATTCCTTTCACCGGGTGTAGCAAAATATAAAGAAGATCATCACCTTTCAATATATTTATCAGATGATTGTGACATGATGGGCTCTATGTGGTTATGAAGATTAAGATCATTGTTCAAAACAGCTTTGGCAAAGGAACACATACATTTAACATTGACGTAAATGGGGTGAGGATTAGTAATCTGTAACCATCTTTTCCTGAAATCAGTAGTTGTCTCCCTTTAATCTTCAAAGCAATCTTTCCGTTTATCAATTTCAGGCTGATGTCACTGAAATAACAGGTAAAAGAAAGAAGAGTTTCTCAAATCCTGAAACAATAGAAAAGTAAGATTAATTTATAATTCTCTTATAATATTTCTAGATGGCAACACGGCAGGATGAAATAAGCAAGATATGATTCTTACATACTTCTATTCCAATTTAAAGTAGCTAAGTCTCTAACTCAATATCATCCAAAATCTTCAACAATGAAAACACGATTTATTTGTCAAACTAAATCAACATTCATGTTGTGATCTTACCGGAAAAAGATGGGCTTTTGATATCCAATATTTAAGACAAAATGCGCTTCAGCCCCAGTTGTATCAAGAGACTCGAGGGACGAGGCTAGACACATTGCACCAAATCAAACTGCGTATGTAATCTGGAATAACCAGACGCTAGAAATTTGCACTCGCTTGAGACTGCTGGCTTATTTCGCCGAACATAACTGATTTGAAATTGGAGTAAAAACGGAAACCATTGAATGTAAATCAGTTTATATACATTCATATTACAGTATTATATGTGTTGCGACCCACTTTTGTCAATTTCTAGGTCCCAAATGTTAGCGATTTAGCCCCTTTAATACCAATCCTTTAGAATATCCTTATAGGAATCGCAGTGGATAACTGTAGATATATATATGGTACATCTTGATAGAGTTTAATTTTTGGTGGTATATTCCTCCATCCAGAATATTTCCATTTCCATGTACACTCGGGGGGTTTGATGGCCGAATGGTTAGTGTGTGCATGTTGTATCATAAGGTCTGTCATTCAGTCAACTGGCTGGGTTTCGATTCTCCGGTTGTATGTGACAAGGAGTAGGGTCACCTGTCCAACCTCGTGGGGTTTTTCCGGGTCCCCCGGTTTCCTACCTCTGCTAAACCCCTACGTGCAAGTGAATTATTGAAATAAAAATGATCCGTGTGTTAGTCCCGAAATGACCTAGTTTGTGTCGAGTGGACGTTAAACCCCATTTCTCTCTCTTTCATTCTTAGAAATCGAACTTCTTAGGTTTAAAGTTCTATTGTCGCCATGCTTAATAATATGATTTAGACACTGACCGATAGCCAACAAGCGCATGTCCTTGATAAAGATTAAAGTTGGGCTACCTAACCTCTGTGTTCTCCTATTCCTCCTACTGTTAAATAGATTTACACAAAGATAAATATCAATGGAATGAGTGTAATTTTTCAAGTTTTAACGTTTATATAAATGAAAGAGGAGTTGTTTTAATTCCGCGATTTAAAAAATATCTAATCAAATGTGGTTTAACGTCCTACTTTTCTGCACCGACTGGGCTAATGAAGACAGGCATACACCATGCAGTGTACTATATCAAATTGCAACTGTCAGGGGTTCTTTTATGTGCATGCTAATGTGTACACAAGACTTTAGTTTTTTGTCCCATCTGAATGACTAGACCGCTGTCCTTGTCAGTCCCTCAGTCCTGCAGCATTGACAAGGGGAAACCGCACAGAAAAAAAAATCCGGATGAAGTTTGTCGGGATTGAACACAGGACCTCCAGGTTAGCTAACCAGCATCTTACTCACTGAGCCACCGTGACTCCCAATTAAAAAAAAAATCACTAATATATAAGGTATATAAACAATATTGACAGCTTAAAGAAAGATTCTGGGGACTTCAGCCCTCCAAATAATATACAAATATGTGTGCATTAGTTTAAAAATGGTCCCCCCAATACGCATTTCGTTCTGACAGGCACCCAGATTATGCGAAATTTGAGATGAATAAAGCAATCCATTGGTGACATCTGAAAGCTATAACTTTTAATTTACCAGTCATAAAAAATTTTGCCAGTCATAAATTTTATAGTACTTTTCAAGGAGTTTGACAAACTCTCACAAAAATGTCTTATAATAATTAAGTCAATAAACTATAACACACATACTTATGGAAAAACAACTAATTATTTATTTGGATGATGTTTCGAAGAGTATTCTTTCAAATTAATCAAGCTAATATCAAGCTTCAGTTACTAAATGCCTTTTAATATTGAGTTAGAGACTTGGCTACTTTAATTATTAAAATAACAAAGTCTCTAACCCGATATCATCTAAAGTCTTTGACATTGAAAACACTAATTATTTGCCAGTTTAAATCAACATTGATGCTGTGATCTTACCGGGAAAAGATGGGCTTCTGATATCCAATATTTTAGACAAAATAGACATTTTACCATTGGTACATGAATCGTGTACCATAATGCGTTTCAGTCCCATTTGTAACAAGGGACTCGAAGAACGAGGCTAGACATATTCCACAAGTCATGTCAATCGGTGACGCCATATTCTTATCTGGAGAGCATGCGCAATAAATTCTATGTAGACTGGAATAACCAGATGCTAGAGATTGCCATTCGATTGAGACTTCTGGCATATTTCACCTAATATAACCAGTTGAAATTAGAGTAAAAACGGAAACAATTGAATGTAAATCAGTTTATATACATTCATATTGCATTATTATATGCGTTGCGACTTGCGACCCAAATGTGTCAATTTCTAGGTCCCAAATATTAGCGATTTAGCTCCTTTAAGTCGGCCAGTGGACCTTTGAAATTACGGTCAGTTATTAGTTTTATGATATTATTCAAAACTGATTATATTTAATTTTTTGTTGAGATTGATAAATAATTCCTCTTTAACTTTGAAAAGGTTAGATAATATAACCTACAAGGTATAATCTTTTATAACATATGGGGATATTAAATAAGTGAAATACACTTGAGGTTTAAATTAATCTATCTAAAGTTGGATATAAACCACTTAGAGATGTGTTATGTTGTTAATACTTCATACTGATTTACAGTCAAATAAAGGCTTTTGTTAAAGGAGCTAAACCTCTAACTCAATACTTTCCATTATGCGAAATTAAAAACATGAATTAAAATTCAATACAAGCCCAATTCAATCACTACTATGTTGCTATGTTTCCCTGAAAGTATGAGACCCTAATATGCAATATTTAAGACACCATGAACATTTTATAATTAGTACACAGGTCATGTGTTCTATGGTTTTGTAATGAACAATCTTACAAGTAATTATAAGTATAATGGCCAATTCAAAAACGACAAAATAATAATAACAAAAGTGTAGAATTTACTACTCGGGCATAAACAACCATCATTCATTTTGGACTGTTCACATACTTCACCCAAAATAATGGATTAGAAATTACAAAAACTTTTTTAGAAATTAAATATAAATCACTTTATTTAGATTCATATTACATTAATATGTCCTTTTAGACCCATTTTCGTCTATTTTAATGTCCCAAAGAATAGAGTCATACGTCCTCTACATAGTGTGATATGCATGAAAAATAAAATTAAACATTTTTTACTCGAAATCACTGTTTATATTCAAACACCAATATCCCCCCCCCCCCTCTGGAAACAAGAAATTGGCGTGTTTTTTTTTGATTGTTTGTTGTGTTTTGTTTCGCTATATTGATCTTACAAAACAAAAACAAAAAATAAAAGGATGACTTGTTCTGCTCATTGATAGATCTTTAGCCTTCTTACACTGTCACCTCAAGACCCCATTTCGGCACACTATGCTGACCCCCACTCTTTCAACGGACATGCATATACTCTTGATATTCATTAGAGGGAGCACGGGGACTTTATTCAGTCTTATCATACCATCACGATCAAACTATCTGCTAAATAAACCTTTACACTGGCTGCTATATGCCACACAATAATAGACCGTAGGAGTCAGTGAGTAGTAAGCTTATAAAAAGAATAAAGCTACTGTATTATGTACATTGATTTTATTGTCAAACTGATGAATTGAAACCTGTTTTTTTACATGTCTTCTGTGTTTAATTCATTAACATATGTGACTTCATATAATCCTTTTTATATTGCTATAAATCACAGGTGATATCTATAATCAATTTACAGGTTATAGATTTCAGTTAAGTTAAAGTGAGCCCCTCGTATGATATGTGACCCATCACATTGATGGGTAAGTAGCAATTTGGCCATTTTGAGTTATGCACATAATCACATTCCTGGGGTTCCAAACTTCATTTTGGCACCATTTCCGACTCCATATCATGTTCAATGGCAGAGATATTGCCTCAAATTTATCCCAAGTCAATTGGAGAGAATTTCAAAACCAGATTTTGAGAAAATCATGATTAAAAATGAGTTATTGAAAGATAAAATTTCCTTAGCAACCAACATTTAATACAAACAATTTCACTACCAAATTAATGATTTCTATTCACAGGTGGAACTAAACTAAACTGTTATCTTTACATTTTCATTACAAGGGCTAGAACAATACAGGCCTATATGCGACTTACTACCCTTTTCGATGTGATGGGTCACATATTTGAACCAGGAACTGGCCCCGAGTTCACAAAGCATTCTCAGACTGAAGTTAAGAATTTACTCAAGTTGATTTAAGAATTTACTCAAGTTGATTTAAGAATTTACTCAAGTTAAGTTAAGAATTTACTCAAAATTGTTCACCTATAGCCCTTTATAAAACTTTTGTTGTTTTATTGTATCAAATACATCAATAAGAAACTATGTGCAACATTTTGTGTTTCTGGATCAAAAATATTTCTCATAAACAATGATTGAAAGTTGAGTTAATCCTTAATTTAAGTCTTAGAATGCTTTGTGAACTCGGGGCCTGGTTCCATAAACTGGTACTAATTGTTTTCAATGGGTTGGCTCTTCTAAAAAAAAAACCTAAAAGCTTCGCCAATTCGGACATGTTACCAACACAGATTTATCTTTTATCTTGATTTTTGTTGCTGTTTTTAATACATGTCTGACACAAACCATAACTTAGCAGTGCCTGGCATATTTTCAGGTAAAACTAAAATGACTGACTTATTGTCATTATCTGGTAAATGGTGTCCAAATTACAGATAATGACATCATTGTTATATTATCAACAACTTGATAAACTTACCATCTGATTAATTAGTGTGTTGTTTAGGGGGGCGTTATGGTTGACAGTACCACTGACTTGAGTGATAGCTACTTGTTATAGCGACTCAGTACTATATTC